TACCGAATACTGTTTGTGTGAAAACGTTCTCCATCGAACAAAAATTTCGTTTGCCTTTCTATTTAAGAAATAGGTTCCTAATTAGAACGGTTCGGCTCACGGTTGAATTCATAGTCATCATCACTCAGTTGTTTCTAGTTCAAATTCAAAAATGCTTCTACTTAAAGTCTTCTTTATGCTTTCTTTACTCTAATATATCAATCTGGTAATATTCCAATCGAACACCGTGAAATAGTTGATTAAAAGTCCAAACTTCGTTTATGTTCTAATAATAAATATTATCTCTACGAAGAAAAATCTGAAAATATAAACAGATCTATCGTTCACAAGCATGATTATAATAGCATCAACATCAAGAGAAAAGAATAATGAAAATCTGCTTGGTTAAATTATAAAACATTTTCAAACTTGATGTACGAATCAAGTCATTGAATTTCATGCATGCAGTTCGATATAACTGTTGCAATGAAATAAAACCGATTCACTTACTGAGCGGAGTTCCATTTTGACTATTACATCTCATATTATTAACTGTCCGAGCTTTTCATTTCACTAATTTTTAAATAAAGTTGTTATAAATTCGATCTATTTGATAATAAGCGATAATGAATTCTTCTAATACGGAGTAAGCATCTCAGTTATTCAAATAGTTCTAATTCAAATTTTTATACCCTCTATAGCAATCATCGAAGAATAGAACAATAAATGATACCATAATAGCTTTTCTTTTTGAAAAAAATCAAACCGTATGGCCTTGTAATAGTGTCTTACCAACGTATCACTGAATAGTTGTTGGATCGAAAACTGGACATGTTTGAACATAGTGAATTAGAGTAGAGCCTCTAATGTTCTTTTTTTAAAATAGAACTGTAGGTTTTTATTTTCATAAACACGGACAATAATTAATTATAGAAAAATAATATGAAAAGTGTACTGTACTGTGTTGTGAGAGAATGTCTTCTTTTTAAGAAACTTAAACGATTGATACTATTTATAAAATAAACAGAAGAAAAATGCTATGAAGGTTTTGCAAAAATTCTAATTACGTTTGCCCACGCTCAAAAATAAAATAATATTTTTAATAAAAAACAGGATAAATACTCTATAAGTTGGAGAAAACATCTGTTTTGACTTAGTCTGTTTTCTTATTTTTGAAACTACTACTACTAATTATATTACACTATCTCAAATAGATTTGAAGATTTCTTATACCGTTTGGTTAATATATATATACCTGATGTTCATAATAAAATCTACGAATAAATCGATAAGATGATGATAATGAATTTTTTAAGAGTAAATAAAAGTCATCAAATGATGAGCACGTTACTCCGTAATATGAAAATGACATATTTGTTTTTAAATTTTGATTGATGTTTAATAAAACTGGATCATTCATATTTTCATAAAAATCTGTACATTTCAATGTTTATAAAAAACAATAAAACTAATCTCAATCTCTTCTAATTCTATAATAATTCTTATTCTACAAATAGAAAATAAAATAGATGTATATGTGTATTTTCTAATAACTTTAAATGTACGAAATGAGTAGAGAAGAATAACTTTATATTTGATACACACAATGGCGTTATTTTATTTTCCTATATCTGTTTAAGAAAGCAGAAAATTTAAGGAACAAAAAAACATGTCATGTGTTCATATAGTTCATGCGTCAAAAGAATTCGATTTACAATATATAATAGAATCCGTCAGACATGCACAGACTATACTCACAAAAAATACTAAATATCAATGAGAACACGTTATTTGAATATTAAATTAAATATTTAGATATTTTTTTTCTCCACTCTTTGATTTTATGTCAACCATGATTATTATTTTTAGTGACAAATTTTATTTTTTTTTTTTGACAAATGTTTGTACGATAAAATAATAGACATGAATAAATTTCAAGATAACCTATTAAAAAGAGAGAAAATTTTAAAAGAAATCATGAAGAGAAATTTCAAATGAATGAAACAAAAGTTGAACAGGTTACGTATCTAATTCAGATAAGCACAGAAACTGACGAAAACTTAAAAGAAAGAAAAAGAGATGGAAAATCCTATTTCAGCCTCTAGATACACAGAAACAAAGAAAAAATACGTTCAATAGAATGATAGTTCTGTTTCTTTGATGATAAAGCACAGACTTTGAAAATGTATGATTATTTGCTCTTTATAATGTTCTTTTACATTTTTATAAATTTTTTTTTCTTTTCATAACAATGACTCTCTTTTTCACAACTTTTTTTTTCTCAGTATTTTTTATCTTAAGTCATACTTCTAGTCGCTCTAAGCGTATAAATAACGTCGTGCTTTAAGTTAAACAACATAAACTTTGAATGTCAACTTATTTTTGAGAACAAAAGAAGTATCGTATCAAACATAATAGGAAAAAATATGTATTTCGATGGTTTAATCAAACAATAAAAGTGTAGTAGAGCAGAGAAGATTTTCTTTTTTTTTTCTTAGAAAAAAAAGGAAACGAAACCCATTAAAATATAACCATTTGACAAAATCAACGCTACTTTATCCACTAGTCCTTTAATTCTTGTTATTTTCCTGTTGATAAAGTATAGCTTTTTTTCCTACAGGAAAACAGTCATTGTTTAATAAACATTTTAATTCAAAATCAGAAGACTATACAAGCAAAAAGAAAAAAAGATATTCAAAATTTTTCAATAAGTTCTAGTAAATGTTCTTTTTCAATTTCACGCTCTTTTTCTTCCGTATTTTTATTTCCCAAATTACTTGCATATTCTAAATTGAAATAATCAAAATATTGAATTTGTTAAATAAGACTTAAAATTTAATCTAAAACATACCACGAACAATATTTTTTATTTCTTTTGTTGTTCCATTTCGTAAATTTAATATTTGTAATATACGTTGTTTAATCGAAGGTATATTCGTAGCTGATGCTATTTCAACAAGTATATAGTCAAGTAATTGTAGTGTAAATAAACCGGCATCTAATCGTTTCATATAAATTTCATCTTCTTGATCTTGCTCATCATCATCATAGTTTTGTAACGTCTAAATTTACCAATATACACGCATATATTAGGTTGAAGTGAGTTTAAGATACATACTCGTCGTTCTTTCTCTATTTCATTGTCAGTAGTTCGAACACGTTCAAGATATCTAAAATGAAGTTCCATTAATCTATCAACCTAAAACATGAAACAAATATGATTCAAATATAAAAATTAAAAAAATATATTATGGTAATATACTCTCGCAGCTAAAGAGATTAATTATATTTCTACATACTTTTTCGTGATCATTTTCGGTAAATTTCATTAACACTCGTTGTCGATTTGATCCCGTACAATTTCGAAGTAATGATGCCACACAAGAAATTGAATGTTCTATATAAAGATAGTTCAAAGATTTTTTAAAATAAAATTATATTATAAAATGTATACCTTCATTTTCAGCACGCGTTTCTCCAGCTTTACGATTTCCTTTTCTAAAATAGAGCATATGTGGCATCAAATATTTTAAAACATTAATAATATCGTTATACTTACGGTGGTTTCATAAATAATGGAAATATTGTTCTTAATCCGAGAATATCAACAATTTTTTGACAATTATCTTTTCCTTCAGAACCCGTCATAGCAAAATTTAGTGTACGTAGAGCACCGTTTCTCGATGCTTTCTTCTCTCTAGATAAAAAAAGTATAATGAATAAAAATTTATTCGAATATTAAAATATAAAAAGACATACTTTAACATAATATTCATTAAATGTGGTCCTTCACCTTTCAAAAACTTTTGTCGATTATTTGCAAATATTAAAGCTGAACATAAACAACTAAATAAATTTTCCATATATTCATATTCTTCACTCGTTTGAGGATCGTGTCGTTTGTAATACTAAAGAAAAGAAAATGAATGACATACAAAGTTCATAGAGAAGTAGAAGTACGAGCTCACAGCTAATTGTTGTAACAATATATCAATTCCATCTAGTTCACCCAATGTTTGTCGATTTTCATCATGATTTTGTAATAATATCGACAATAGTTCTGAACAATACAAACGAATTGAATCAAATGGTGACTTAATCTATATACAAAAATAAACAAATAATACGTTAATATTTGAACCCTCTAGAATAAATGATCTACCTTTAAACGTTTTAATAAATATTGCAGTAATCCTTGTTTACATGCATCAATACATGTAACTGGACGAAATTCAGTCATATTTTCAACAACAGCTAAGTGTAAAAATAAACAATGAATGAGAGTAAGATAAATGGTAATAATTATACCTAATGAATTGTGAATTCCTTCCGCTTCTTCTTTAATATTTTCATCTAAACGATCCATATTTTGTACTAACAACGAGACAATTTGTTGTTCAGCCTGAAAATAGACATATTTATACAGATAATGTGAATAATTTTAGAAAATGTATTTACCAAAGCATCAATTAATAATGTTGCTTGTTCTCCACTTTCTGTCAATGTATCAACATCAGTTAATTCTTGTAAAAGATTAACAACAGCAATGCTTATATCTGTATTTTCATGTGTTAAAAGTCCAAGTAGTAATTGAACGCCATTCATATTAATAATAATATGGTATAGATCGGGCTGTGCCGCTACTTGATGAAGCTCTTGAATACCATCGTTTAATTCCATTTCTGATTCCATAAATCTGAAATAATAACAAATCTGTATATTATTGTCAGTTGGAACGTAGTGTACTAAGAAGAAAGAATGGGACATTCTGCCGAATTGTTATGATAATTAGATTTTGAACATTCTTAGTAATACACTCATACTTTTCTGGATGATCTGGATGTTTGATGCGCATTTCTTGATTTTTGAGAATTCTTTTCTCAAGTTGTGATATCATTCGTTTCAATGATGTTTCATCTAATGGTTCATTCTAAAACAAGGAAATGGAACAATTTTCAAGTAACAAAAGATATTCTTAGACTTACATTTGATTCATTTTCTAACATTTCTAATAATTTTTCTTTTTCATCCGTACTCAGCGATGCAATATTGCTACCTGTTGCTGCTCCATTGGCAGAAAAAGGCGCAAAATCAGTCGACTTTTTAGCACGTTTAGCTACTGTTGTCGTTGGAAGTGTTGAATTAGGTACAGACCGTTTGCTGGGTTGTGGTTTATCTGGCTAAAACAGATGGTAAACTAACGTAAACTTCAAAGAAATTTTAGTTTTTGTGATATTTACTTGATAGTTGAGAAGTTCATCAACATCCATCTTGAAAAATAATGTTATCTGCAAAAAACGGTTAGTTTCAAACAAATATCAACTAAGAGCAAATCAAAATGGATTCCTGAAAATACTCAATTTCTTAATATCTAACTATGTAACCAGTAAAGTTTGAGCAAATTGCATTGAAACTATCCATATATTCTGTGACTCTAAGCAGAGTCAGTTTCCGCTGAAATTTGAGCGAACAACGGTATAGTACCGATATATTATAACCCCATGACTCCATCAGATGCAGTCGTGCAATAAACTAATAGTTCAGTTCACAATTAAGGAATTGGAGAAAGCGGCGAGCTCCAGGTCAGAATTAAGATTTTAAAGAGGACAGTTTACTAATTATTATAAGCAAAATATTTTAATTTCACGAAAGATGTAAAGATCAGCTCTAAATGTAATTACACTTAAATATGTCCTAAAAACACAGGACATAAGTTTTCTTTAGGTATAATAGAGCAAATACGTGAATGTCATATCACATTTTTCTCCTGGTATGTCTCACTCGATAGAACGGTCAAGGGCTATGTAATAAAGCCGAGAAAAGGAGCTTTTGTGAAAAACAAATGAACTTTATTTGTAAACCATCATTCAAAAACTAATGACTCATTTCTGTTATAGGTGCCCTCCTTATATCTTTAATGTTATATTCTACGCTTTTTCTGTTGTATTGTCCCTCGGAAAATAAACTGGTATTTCACATTTCTACTATTAAGTCCTGCGATTTTTTTTATAGAGCATACACCGCATTTCTCCAATTTCACTCTCGAGTAGACTTGATGACTAACCTAGAGACTAGTCCAGCGTTGAACTTTGTTCAGTACAAAATGCCGACTCGGTTTTAAAAAATTGCTTAAAAGAAAAAATATGAATACACGTGATATCGCAGATTTTCTTTAATTTTTCAATGTAACGTATAAATATAACGAACTCTATGCAAAACGAAGTTGAAGATAATAATAAAGATTCACGATAAAAGAACACAGCAAAATGATAATTACTTATTAGATCGTTAAAAATTAATCTTCATCTTTTGCAATGTGTTGACTCTTTAACATAAAATTATTTACAACATCACATCCGATAAAACAATAAAAAACGAACATTTAGTTGTTTGTTTTTATGCATAGTGGACCGAAGGCAAAGAGCATATCAACAGAGAGAACGATGTCATCAAAAAGCAGGAAAGTTTTTGGGGGAAAGGCAAAAAACTGTGACATCACAACGCGAGTGAAAAGCCGTAACAATAAGATGATGGTAAAAATACTCAATATACGTTTTTTCTGCATGTTACTTCAAAGACTTTTTCCCTTGACTTTAGTCTGAGGTCTTATAAAATGTTTGTTTGTGTTCATTTAACGTTAAAGTTTTTAGTGTCAATCTTGGTATTGTGTAAAAAACAAGCAGTCAATTCTATGCTTATCTTAGTGGTTATTCGTGAACCAATGGCATTTTCAGTTTTCTCCGGTAGCTAGCGACATCTGACATTTTTCCGTTGTATCATTGTTTCTTTATATATAGCGACGAAGAGTCCGATTACGAAAGATGGAACGCTGTGTTTTGAATAAAGAAAGCAGATGGCTTTACGTTCTGTGTTACTTTGACATATTGTTCTTGTTAAAAGGTTTTGCAAATAAGCAATTTTGATTTCACTTGAATTTAGAGACTGCCGCTCCGGCATACAAACTAGAAGAACAATCTTCTAGTTCGCACGCATCTGACTCGTCACTGCGGCTGTGAGTTTTGGCACGAGGCCTTACCTCTTTATAATATGTTTAATATAAGCAACTAGACCAAATGGAAACGAGAGCGCAAAATATTTGATGCTTGCACACATTCCGCGTTTTCGTCTAATTATCTCTGTTCCGTTCTTCTCTGTTATCCGTTCTCATTTTTCTCGCGTCAGTTTTTCCGACTGAAAACTCTTCAAACTTATTGAATCGACTAACTAAATAGACCGGTGTGCACTACCATCAGCGTACGATTGCCTACTATCTACTCTTCTCTTTTCTGAACTAGAATTAGACAAGTGAGCACAAGACGTTTCATCTATGACTCACGCGCTCTGACTGATGACTCATTAATGGAAAGAGTTTTGTGCGATGAGATCGGCGTTCGCACTGAATGTCTTGGTCTTAGTTTTGAAAAGCAACGTGGAACATCCACCTAAACGGATCATGCACACGTTTTCCCAAATGCGTTCGATAAACGAACAAGTACTGACACAGAAAAGTAGAACAAATTATCGAGAGAAGGGGAAGAAAGCGGAATATGTGCATAATTCAAACATCCCGTGCTCTCATCTCGTTTAGTTTCATTGCTTATATTACAAACTATTATAAAGAGGTAAGGCCTCGTGCCAAAACTCACAGCCGCAGTGACGAAGAACACGCGAGAACTGAGAGATTACGATCTCTTGGTTTGCGCCAGAGCGGTATTTAATTCAACTTTCAAATGAAATCTATTAGTTTTTATGTACAACTTTCCTTCTTTTGTTTACTTTTCACACACTACTCTTCCCTCTACTACGAATCATTCATTATACACGAATACTGAACAATAACAAAACATTTTATTTTTACAGCGTACTTTGAGGGAAAAGAAGAATATACCTTTTTGAATTAAAACTAGCGATGAGATCGCTGGTTTTCAGTATTTACTCGAACATTTTCATATTTAACCCTTTGGGGACGGGTGACGTTTTAAAACGTCATTAAAACGTCAAAAATCGGAATAAGTCGTGTTTTCCAAAACTTTCTTTTGAAGAAACGTCTCTCAAAACTAGATCATAATCAAAT